ACACTTAACAGATAACTAATTAACACAGAACTATTTCTGTGTATATATATTATTTTCTTATTTTTGTGAAAAATAAGTAAATAATGGTACAGTCCATTGGACCCAGATGACAATAATGGCTACTTTTCGTAATAAAATAGGGATTAAACATTTATTACCTCTAGCCTGGATTATTAGAGTAGCCTCTCAGCTGGCCTTCTTCTACCTAGCAGCCAGAATAGTCTTTCAGAAACACAAATCAAATTTATCTTTTAAATAGCTCTTGCTACAAATAAAATTGAAATTTTTTAACCTCACTGCAAATTTTACATGTTGTTAACTTCACCTTCTTCCCTTATCTCTCCCTTCCCTTATCTGCTGGACATGATGCTTTCTTCCTTTTCCCCCATTAAATCAAACTTGTTCTTTTCGTGGGGCCTTTATAGTGTTTCCATCTGCATTTGTTTTTCCATGATCATACTATGGATGACTTCTTGTCATTTGAGTCACAAATTAAATATTAGCTTCTTAGAGAGTATCTAATATTTTTCTTATTTATTTGATTTCCCTCTAGAATGGAAGCCTTGTTAGTGCAGGGTCTTTTACTTTTTTTGTTTTGTAACTCCAACAGCAGACTAGAACAAGAAAAACAGTATATACTTAAATCAATTTTGAGTAAATATGTGCAAGTGGTATTTCTTCATATTTTTGAGGCAGGCAGCGGCACCACTGAGCTAAATCCCCAGCCCTCTTCATATCTTTGAATAAATTAGCAATGTATAAATATATAAAAATCAAGTAGCATGGCTATCTATTTTCATTTGTAGCTTTAGAAATGGCTGAGTGTATTTTTTTGTGTAATGTTAATATGCATTCATACCTACTCATTCTCTAGTTAATATATCTATATTTAAAGGGAATAAATACATACTTGGAATTATACAGAATGTTGCATTATTTTCTTTTTAGTTTGTTTATAATATTCATGGTACAGTGTTTTTTGGGTTTTTTTGGGTTTTTTTCTTTTTAATTTTTTTATTGGTACATTTTAGGTATGCAGTACGTTTACATTTATCATTGGGTGTTTGTACCTGTACATGAT